TCCTACTATTTGTACACCAGTCTCCTTTGATTTCTTCTTTGCTGCATGATTTTTTGTAATCATCCACTTACTAGTTCCAAGTAATCTATCAAGTTCTTGAGGTGGTGGAAGATAAAGCCAAACGTGGTTATCTTCAAGCTTTATGTCAAATGTCATTAGTTTCAATCCTACGTCACCCGATAGACATTCACCTGTTTCTAGGGCAAAATTTTTCTTATGCATAGGACAACTAACACGAAGAGTTCCACTTTCATCATCACCAATAAATCCTTGAGCCAGCACAAAAGCTCTCTTATGCGGGCACATATTTTGGGTTGCATACCAATTTTTTCGTTCATCAGTATTAAATATAGCAATTTGTGTATCAGAATATTTTATAACTTGACCAGAATCTTCAGGGAAAGAATCTATTGGGGCTATTTTAACCCAAGATTTTTGCTTATATTGTTCAGTGGGTATTTCAGAAATATCAGGGAATTCTTTTGGCCAATCTGCAGGACGTCTTTGTCCACGTTCAGTAATCTTTTCAATAGCAGGTTGAGTTTCCGGTGTATTAACAAATTGTCTGAATTGAGCTCGTTTAACAGGATCATTAACTACTCCTGCCCATTCATCTTGATAAGTGTTAATAAGACGTCCCATATCTTCTTCTAAATCTTTACATATTCCTAAATGGTCATCAATAATAACTTTTCGAAGGTAATCAATACCACCCTCCATTTTTTCAAGCCATCTTGCTGTACGCGTCAATTTATCAGCAGTATGAATATAATACATTAAGAAACGATCTAAATATTTAATGCATAATTCTTCTGGAACATCTTTTACTAATAAAACAGCATGCTTTGGTTTTGAACCACCATTTCCACAAACATAAATATTATAACCTTTATCAGTAGCAATGAGACCGAAATCTTTTCCTTGTGCCTCAGCGCATTCTCTAATACAACCTGATACACCACCTTTCAATTTATGAGGTGATCTAATTCCTCTATAACGTTCTTCAACTCGAATTGCAAAACCAACAGAATCACCAATTCCATATCTACACCAAGTGGAACCTACACAAGATTTAACAGTTCTCAAAGCTTTTCCATAAGCATGACCTGATTCAAAACCAGCGTTTACAAGTTCTTCCCAAATATCAGGTAAGTCATGTTTAGCAGCTCCAAAAAGGTCAATACGTTGACCACCAGTAATCTTTGTATATAAGCCATACTTTTCCGCTATTTGACCCATTATAACTAATTTTTGAGGAGTAATTTCACCAGCTGGTACACGTGGAACAACGGAATAAGTGCCATCACGTTGCATATTTGCAAGAAAACGATCGTTGGTATCTTGGAGGTTGGAATGTTCCAAAATTGGATCGTTCCACAAACTGGCTAAAATAGAACCTATTGCAGGTCTACAAATTTCACAACCATGAGTACCCTTTTTACCGATAGTTTCAAGAATTTCCTTAAAAGTTTTTAATTTTTTAATTTTAACAAGTTGAAATACTTCAACTCGAGTATATTCGAAATGAGGACACATGTTTTGAGTAACTTTATGACCTAAAGATTTCATTTCTGCTTGGAAAATTTCGGTTACTAGAGGCATACAACCACCACAACCTGTGCCAGCTTTGGTACATGATTTTACTTCACCAATAGATCGACAATTTTGAGTTCGAACAGCAACTTTAACTTGGCCTTTAGATATATTATTACAAGAACTAATAAAAATAATAAATAAAATAAATATATAGTTATTAAATAAATAAACAAATATATATGTATATAGTTGTTAAATTAATTAAATGTCAAAATAAATAAACAAATAAATACCAAATCTGAGCTTCATCAGGTAGTTCATCAGCACCCGGAGCTTGACCAGATTTAACACCAAGGATAAGTTCACCAGGATCCATTGTCAATGGTTTTTTTGATTTATATAAAGCATGAAGCTTTGCATAATCATTAGTATCACCGACCATTATTCCACCTAAAAGATGTTTACCATCTTTTGAAAATAAATATTTTTTATAAACTGAACCAAATGGATCTTTATAAACTAAAGACATCGCCACATCATCACCAGCGAAATAATCACCAAAACTGGCAACGTGAACTCCAAGAAGTTTAAGTTTACATGATTGGTCACTTGTCATAAATTTTCTTTTTCGATTATTAGAAGTCAAATTAGCAGCAACGACTTCAGCCATTTCATAACCAGGAGCAACTAGACCATAAACCACACCAGCATGTAAAGCTACTTCACCAACAGCAAAAATATTGGGATCATTTGTTTGTAATTGATCATCAACAAAAATGCCACCCTTAGGATGAGTCGAAATGCCCGAAGCATTAGCAATCTCGTCACGTGGCCTGATACCCGCAGCAACAACCACCATTTCAAAATCCGAGATTTGACCATTATTGAATAAGATTCCTTTTGTTTTTCCATCATCATCAAGAACAATTTCTTTTGGAGGTAATGATAAAGAAGATTTTATACCTAATTTTTCAATTTCACGTAATAAAATTTTTCCACCTTTTTTATCTAATTGCCTTGACATAAGTAAAGGATTTCTTTCACAAATAGTTACTTCTAAATCCAAATCATATAAAGCTTTAGCAGCTTCAAGACCAAGTAAGCCACCACCAATAACAGCGGCACGCTTAGCATTCTTACTATACTCTATCATATCATTTAAATCGTCGATGGTACGGTACACAAATACACCAGGTTTATCCACATTTGGAAGTGGAGGTAACCACGCGTAAGAACCAGTAGCGATAATACAATAATCGTAAGGAACGATAAGACCGTTAGAAGAATGGACACATTTATTTGATCTGTCGATGAAAGTGACCTTGTCATTCATATGAACGGTGACATCATTTTCTTCGTACCACGAAGATGGTTGCATAATTAATCTTTCTTCAGAACGATGGGAAAAGTATTGCGTCAAACCGACTCTATTATAGGCAACTAATAAGATGAAAGCATTTAATATTAATTAATTAATTTATTAATTAATTTAAAGATTGAAATTACTATTTTTAAAAGAAAATAGATTAGATATGCGGTGTTACCTCTTGATTCTTCACAGAAAGTTTCAATCTTAAATTGATTTCTTGCATCAAATTGTAATAACTTTTCAATAAAATATAAACCAACCATGCCAAGTCCAACAACCACGACGGTTGATTTAGATTCTTGGACTGGTAAAATCATCACATCGTTTGGTGGCATTATTTTACAACTTTCAAAATCAAAAAAGAATGGTAAAGAATGTTTGCTTTTTTAAAAAAATATTATATAAATATTATAGTCTGACGAGTAAAGTAATTATTACTTTTGTTTTTTATATAATTTTTTAAACTTATAAATTGGGAAAGAGAGATGAAAAATTTCATTTAAATCATTTATCGTTATTAATAACATCTGAAGATGACGTATGAAAAGGGATCTAACCGCATAACCGCAAGTGATTTATATTTACTTTTATGGGTTTGAATCAACACTGACAATTGTATCAATTGAGTTATCTGCGTTATCTAAAGGCCGCTTTATTGATAAGATAAAAGATAAAAGATAGTATAAAGATGGCAAATTTTTAAGACAAGCGGAATTTTAAGAACGATAGCAGATCAAAATTATAATGAATATATAAATTATATAATAATGATAAGTTAAAAGAATCTCGAGAGCCATGTGTAACAGTTACAGATTTAGTAACAAAAGTAGTATAGAAATCTAAATTTAGTATATCAAATTTTGTTTATCAAATTTGTTTATTTGCTTATCATTTTAAAGATAACGATAAAGATAACAATCCCGACAATTCGGAATTTTTTTTTAAAGTGCGCCAATGCAAATAGTTGCATTGTCAAAGTTCCACGTACCTAATTAAATATTTCTATGTCAAACAAATCCAAAATGATCATTTGACGACCCAATTATCTATCAATTATGGTTGTTGATAACTAATTTAAAACTTTCTACTTTTAGAACATCACTGTTTTTGGTTAATCGGACTGCAGTAGATAAGCATTTTGTCACACTGTACATACACGCGTAAAATAGAAAGCTTTTTTATCGGACCTATAATAACTTAGAGATAAGACTAAGTGATAGTTAAACGGACTAAAAAAGTAAAACAGACTAAAGTAGACTAAAACATGCTAAAACAGATTAGATCTAAAATTTTTTTTTTTTCCTTCTCTCTTGATTTTACTGTAAAAAATTCATGATTTCTATTGTAAAAAGAAATGGTGTAAATAAGCAAATAATCAATTCCGAACTTTAGATAAGCTTTTTTTATTTCGGCTCGTTTTATTTTTGAATTTCATTAAAAAATTTAATGAATTTAATGAATAACAAAACAAAATATAAATAAAAACTCGAGTGATCACGATCTGGCTGATCAGTGATCATTAATTAGTTATCATCTTGGCACGGATCGGGCTGAATTAATGTTTCAAAAGATTCTTATTATGTTTAGAAATCTAGAAAAAAAAAAAGGTCTAATTACACTGATAGTATAGAAATTACTGTATTTTAATGGAATTCCAAATTTACCCGATTGTAACCAAAATTGAAAGTTGTATAATAAAGTTGTGTAATGTTATGCTTCGATAGATAAAGGGAAGAACTTAATGCAACCAAATCGACAGAAAAAAAACATATAATACATTATCTTATCGTTATCAGGTATCACCTTGTTGCATATTTTTTTGGTAATCCTTTTCATTTTGACCCTATATTAATTCACATGACATGGCTTGTACAAATTTATGATCTATTTATGATCTTCTTAATAATAATAAATAATAATAATAATAATAAAAAAAAAAAAAAAAAAAAAAAAAAAAACTTTAAAAAGGACTCTAATATCCTGTCGCAATGAAAATCTTTATCCTTCAATCCTTCACAATTTTGGCTGTACACAAAGAGCCTTATATTTCTATCTTTAGGACTTTTGGATCTATTACAATTACAATTACGATAAAATGATTGACGTTAAATTAAAAACTTCTCCCCCGCCTACTGTCGATGAAAATGACAGGAAAACCAAGGCTAAATCTCTTCATTTATTAAGTTTCTCTAAGCCTCATGGACGAACATTTCACGTCGCTTGGTTTTCTTTTATGATTGCTTTTACTGGGTGGTACGCCATAGCACCCTTGAAACCTTATATAAAATCGGATTTAAAATTAACTAGTGAAATAGCAACTAGTGATATATTTTCTGGATTAGCTACAATTATTTTTCGTGTTGTAGCCGGTGTATCTTGCGATCTTGTTGGACCGAAACGCGTAATTACTGCTTTACTTTTTGCCGGTGCTATACCTACTGCCCTTGCTGGTCTTATTAATAATGCTGATGGTCTTTATGCTATTCGCTTTTTCATTGGTGTTCTGGGCGCAACTTTTGTTCCTTGTCAATTTTATACTACCCAAATGTATGAAAAAAATGTTGTTGGTTCTGCAAATGCTTTCGCCGGTGGTTGGGGAAATTTAGGCGGTGGTCTTACCTACATATTAATGCCTCTGGTATTTGATGGTATAAACTCAAGTGTTGGAAATACTAATGCTTCATGGCGTATCGCTATGATAATTCCTGCTGGACTTTGCATAATCGCTGGATTATTAAATATATTCTTTGCCGATGATTATCCAGGTGGTGATTGGCTTAAACGAAGTAAAACTTTAGAAAATGGTAATGCTGGAGTTGTTGAAATTCATGAAGCCAATGAAAAGAAATTGGATGGTTATAATGTTGAACATTCTGAACAGGATAAACCTAAAAAAACGGGAAAACTCACTGAATTGTTAAGTGCATTTTGCAATCCCAATGTCTTAATTATGATGATACAATATGCTTGTACTTTTGGTGTTGAATTGGCTATTGATAATGTTATTGGTGGCTTCTTTATCAACCAGTTTGGCCTTAAAGCTACAAATGGTAATTTTATTGGTGCGGTTTTCGGTCTCATGAACTTCTTTTCTCGAGCAACTGGTGGAATATTGTCTGATTATGCAAACAAAAAAATCGGAATGCGTGGCCGTTTATTGACACAATTTTTAATCTTACTCTTTGAGGGTATATTCTTAATAATATTCGGATTTAACGCTGAAACTATGACATCGGCTATTGTTATTATGATCTTCTTTAGTTTCTTCACTCAGGTAATTAATTATTTTTATATATTACATGTATATATTCATCGAACTTTTATTCAATATAATTAATATAATTAATATAATTAAATTACAGGGAGGTTGTGGTTCATCATACGGCATAGCACCGTACATAGATCCTCCAATATATGGTACAGTTGCAGGATTGATAGGTACTGGTGGTACTATTGGTGGTATAGTGTTTAATTCAGTATTCGCACGTTATAGCACTGCAATCCCACAAGGATTCGTGATAACTGGAATAGTGGTCACTTGTGTCTCATTCACTACCTTCCTTCTGAAAGTTACAGACCAAAGGTTGATTCCAATAAAAAGATCAAAGTGATCCTTTTTTCTTTATGTCAAGCAAATAATATTTTCTCATAACACTGAAAATTAAAAACTTTTAAAAGAATTTACATAAAACATTTTATAGCAATTATAACAACTTTCACTTTTTTTTTTTTTTTATAATCGTTAATTAAAATTGTATAACAGTAGGATTTCTTCTTTTTTCACTCTTTCATAATTTAAGTATATGGTTTTATAACATCATCTGTGGAATTTTTTATTGTCAATTTGGGTTTACCATAAACCTTACAAAATTTAACGTGAATTTATCACGGGATTTATGGTTAGTATTTAAAATATAAAATAAAATCACATGAAACAAACTTGGGTCATCTAAATGAATAATATATTTCAAAATGTCTTGCAATTTATTATTATATATTCATATATTATACTACGTAATTGTATAGAATAATGACGCTCTCTGACAGTAGACACTCAGACTAAGATAATCTACGTTAGTATCCCACAAAAAATTTTACCCCCTCGTGATTTTTAACCAATTGGGATGTTAAGGTTAGGGGTTAGGGTTATTTAGAATGTTTTTGTGGGAGATCTACAGGCGTTTTTCCGACCGAACGTATCATATGATTAAATTTACACGTACGTACGTAATAAATACTTAATATATATATATTAAGTAAGGGATAAGTAATAAGTCACTATTATTACCCACTACGAACACAATATGTCAGACCCAAAAACCGAACACATCATATGCTTGATGATATTCATTTCCAAGAAAGATTGATATATTGATCATTTATAGTAAATTATATCGATAAGAAGGTTTTACATTGTACGTACGTACGTACGTAATAATAAAAAGTATATACATTGTGATAATAAAAACTTAGCCGTGTACTATACACAATCTATTAAAGGCGACCTGTACGTCCCATTTATACAAATTGTCATAATCTAAAATTTCCCGAACTTTGTTTTTTTTTTAGCATATGCAAAATGTCAATCTATTTCTAGATTATTTTTGTTACACACCTAATCAAATTTAATAATGCAATTTAATTGGGTATCGCAGAAAAAGCTGTTACTATAACTAGAAAATTAAAAATTAAATTCCCGAAATGATAGCTAAGCTGTTTATTGTTTTTAATTAGTCATCAAATAATTTCGCACGCGTATTGACATCGTAGCCCAAATCTCACATGGTTGATAGGTATAAAACTATAATTGCTGAATTGTCGCACAGTTTTTCCTAGTATCTTCCATCTGTTTTATAATAATCATACAATTCGATCATGTTTTATATCTTTCTATTTGTATAATAAAAAAATTTGAGAAAATTTAATTCATAATTCGTGAGAAACCAATTAGAGATTATACCCGTCTCTACCTAGGTTTATTAAATTACCCGGTTATCCGGATACAATCTCTAAAACTAATAACTAATTATATTATTATTAATATTTACTAAACAAATTATAATTGGTTACAAATAACTAATCATTTATAGCCTTAAACAATTGTTATCGGTGGTGGTACTAATAATTGGTCTATTAAATGAGTGATACCAAGAGAAAATGTGTTCTATCATATAAGTTTTATATTATCGAAGTTCCGTTTTCCCTTGGCATCACTCAAATAAATCAAGAATCAATTTATTAAATATCAATTTTAATTTCGATCGATAATATGGTGAAATAATTGTAATCAATTATAATTTATTAACCCATACCGGGTTGGTGAAAAGTAACTGAACAGTGACCTTTTTTTAATCACTATGATTATGTTTAGTAATCATTGCAATAAATTAAAACTTGTAATAATTTTTAATTTATTGCAATGATTACTAAACATAATCATAGTGATTAAAAAAAGGTCACTGTTCAGTTACTTTTCAC